AGCCAGGGAGTCACTCCATCGCCGTTCCAACTCGGTAACTTGCTGCGAGAGGGAGGCGTGGGCCACATTGGCAATGTCGATTCTCGACTCGAGGAGATGTTACTTAGGCGACCCGGGTCTCGGGGGGACAGCCGACGGCGTTTCGACCACCGGAGGTGGCGTAGTGGCCACAGCTGTCACGGCTCGAGGCACCGAGGCTGCCGATGGGATTCCTTGGGATTCCAGACCGACGGCATCGGTAAGTAGTTGTTACGGAACGGACCTTCGTGATCTCGCCGCTGCGGCGTTCCGTTGCGGATCATTCCTGGGGGAACTCGGAGCTGTGGGCAGCATACTGCAGATAGCCGTCCACGGCTTACTTCACCAGTCCCACGGCTTTGGAATCTCAACGAATGAGCAAAAAGGGATAAAAGGGAAAAGGGGAAGCGGACTTCCGACAGGCCGGATTGAAAGCCAAACCCGTTCTAGGTCTGGAGACCACTTGTGGTGCAATCCCGGTGTGGGAAAGGCACCCAAGGCAGCTCGAAGCCTTGCTCTCTTGGAGAGGTAGGCCCAGCTGGGTAGAGCCCTCCGTGTCCCGTATGACGGGTGTAACTCCGTCGGGAGCCTGGATGTACCTCGGAGGTTTAGGGGTTAGAACGGGTCGGAACCACGGCTGGTCCGGAAGTAGCCTGCGAACAGGGGAACAAAAGAGGGAAAGGGACCACCCGACGGGGGCGTGCGGAAAGCGGGAACAGACCCCGGAGGGGGGTGCCGATACACACACACGAACACGCACCGCGCGGCGGTTAGGGGATATGAGGGGAAGAGATGGTCTCACGGTCTCACGACACACGTCGGTAATATCAATACCCAAAACTGGGGCGGAGATAGGGCCTGTACGGGCGGTCACACGACAACAATGAATACCACGAGTGGTCACAACCCACTGGGTACGACGAGCACGGTCTCCTCGGTGGTGCGAGTCGGGTGAAACTATCGGGCAAGCGGTGTACCTCCGCGAGGAGTTAGACACTTCGCATGGCGAATAGAGTCAGAGCCGAACTCTTGTTACTTTTCTTGGTGAGCTCGCCGCCGTGCGGCCGACGCTCAAGTACTAGCTCAGTGCAGTAAAGTAGGTAGTGCACTAGCCTAAGTAAAATTAACCCCTAAACTATACTAAAACAAGTAGCCGTTTTGGGCCTCCTGGCCGGGGCTGTAGCCACGTGTCCACCACCCTTGCCAGGCAGGTGCCACAAAATATGAATGTTCCCATAACCACCCTGGGTAACCCGACCGCCAATTAGCCCGGTAAACGGGGGCTAAAATTCATGCATCCCGCTTCATCGCTCGCACCGAGTACACCTCAGATATGAGTTTCACCATCGCCCGTACGCGGGAATGTATTGCACTACAGGCTCTGGTACGATAGGCCATCGTAGGGATTACGACTCCTTGTGGAGAGTATCCACGAGAGGATTCCCTCTACTATCCCCTTGGGAACACTCAGGCGTCACTACTGTTACAGTATCACCGTGTTCGGTATTTTTATCTATTCCACTGTCAGTCTTGGACTCCGCCCCGTATCGGGTTCATTCTCGTGGTGTGTATTGCCACTCTCCTTGGGGAAACACCCATACGGCCTGTGTGGATTCGCTCCCGTCTCCGGGTCTGTTGCCGCTGTGTGCACGCCCCGTCGCCGGTTCACGTCGTGTTTCTCTTCCCTTTTAGGGCCCCTTTTCTCCTTCGCTGGATTCCCCGCTCAACACTCTCGTGTGATCCACTCCTAGAGACACACCCCATTTTCTGGGCCATTCCCGAACCTCTGCAGGTATAGACAGAACCACTTTGGTCTTACACGCCAACTCGTACGTGACGCAGAGGGCTCACCACTGAGACACCATCCCCAAAGGGAGCGAGGTCTCGAACACCTTGAAGGTGCATCTCCAGTCACCGGGTTTTGCTCTACAGGTTGCGGAGTCGAGAGCATATATCGTACCGTATTGTGGATTATCAGCATGCGGCTGCATGGCCTGTTCGATCGTGGACAGGCGGAGGGCGAGTTCCTCTAATTCGGGATTGATGCTGTCGTCCATTCGCATTGCTCTAGCCTGATATTGTTGTGGAGGCACCCCAACTCTGCGGCGAACTCGGTTTTCGTTTGTGTTCTGCGTGTAAGATGCGTGAAATGTGCACCAAGGCCCTTTCCATCCTTCTGGCTTAGGGCATCGTTTGTGTATATCGGGGTGGTGAGCTGAAATGGTCTGGAACGTGCAAAGCGAGGTTGCAGTGGCCATGAAATGTACTAGCGTAGATCTATTCTGTGTGGGGGAGGCTGGACGTTTTTGCTTGGTTAAGAGTCGTCTTGGAGCAAAAGAGCTTGTCTTATGTGGTTTGAAAATGATTGAATTGTTGCAGGTGGGTTGCCTGTGAGTACTATGGCAAGCGTTGTAAAGTCGGGGTGTCTTCTGAGTTCTTGTATCATGAAGTTTACCGTGGTGCCCTCAGCTTGGATATTTGGATATGCGGCGTTTATCATTTTGGTTCGGACGATTTCGTGTTGCTCGATGTATTTTGTAGGTCCGTAACGGGGAGGAAGAATATGCTACGTGCCTTGGCTTCGAGTACGTTGTGGTTTTTGCGATTTTTTCCCTATATGTGAATCGATGAGTTGAAAAATTTCAAACGGAGATAGTTGGACGAAGTCTCCGGTGAGTTTTGTGTTGATGGTCTCTGGGATGCTTTGGATGACTAAGGCCTTGATTTTGTTTATTTTGGTGATATGTGTTTCGAGTTGTGGAGGGTCGACAAGCAGTATGATTATTTGGGTTGTAATAAGGTTGGACGCATCAAAGAGAGATGCGTTGATGGTGAGTGCGGAATTTCAAAATTGAAAGTTGTTGTAGGAGAGGGTTGGTAGTTTTGGATGGTCGTTGGACATTTTGCCGATGTGCTGTGTGGTTTCGGGAGAGTGGCGTGTTGTCTGTTGCGTTGATTTGTGTGTTGTGGAGCAAGTGTTGGATATATTCTTGTTCTTCGATTCTGTGCTTTCGCCGTTGTTGGTGGAGGGATCGTTCGCTTTGGTGTTGATCCTCAGTGGGGAGGCTGTGTGGGGTCATGCGGTAAATGGGCCCATAACCTGAGACGAAAGCTCGCGATCCTCCCCCGACCGTCGCAACTCCCGTGCGGCGGCGGCCGGTGCATATTTTATTTGGTGGTGCCTAGCTACTGAGAGCTGTCTATCTTACGTGATATTGCTGTTCGGCGTCTCATACCCTTTGGAGACTATCTACTCTTTGGCTCTCAATTATGGCGTCCACCTCTTCGATTTCCTGAAAGTTTTGAGCTGAAAGTACTGTAGCACAGAACCTGTGCAAATTTTATCAAAAACCAATACTCCGATGGCCAATCAAATCGCAAGCTCTATACTATCAGGACATGTCTTCCTCCCGAAGCCATTTTGCGTGATGAGAAGTTATTCGTGTGCACGCTCGGTATCGTAGAGTTGCGTCACTCAAGACGTGCTATCTCATCTGTACGGTGCTCCACTTCAAACTTGGCGCCCTATAATATACAAATGTAGCGCACTCTTATCTTGCTCTAAGGCATGCATAGCTCTCAGATGTTTTCCGAACGACTTCCAGCTTTACTAGAATCATTGTATGATAGCGTTCAAGTATGATACAAGCTCGGAGCCTTCTATAGGAGATTACCATTCTGAATTACTGATGCACCCTTGGTAGCTAAATGCCTCAAAGGGAACTACGAGCTCCCACTCACCACATTAAGCCGTTCTCCCTCAAAGATGTGATAAGCTGACTAGCACAGAGGTTGAACGGGAATTCGAGCATGCCACTGCTGTCGTCTGACGACAGAAACATCGCAAGCACATGTGACAATTTGGGCTGTACAAGGCAGGTTCGGATTACCATCACAACCAAGCGGAACATTGACAATTCGGCGCTCCTCAGAAAGGCAGTGATAGACGGAAACATGTTGCATGAGAACCTGACATTTGTGGGTGGCCTGACGTTCGTCGGCGGGACAGCGCGAGGCGGCAATGAATGAAGGAGCGCACACGCGGAATGGACACCAATGCTTGGATGCTTCAGAAATGAGCGGAGCGTCTACGCATCGTGCTATGCTAGATGCGCGACGGCAGTATTGTAGCTCTGGGGAGGTGGCGAATGTTAATGTGATGAGCGATGTGATGAGCGATGCTATGAGTATTGGAAGGGCTGCTGCCATTGTTGGGGGATGGTGGTGGGGACTCTCGATAGCAGCGCGCGGGGAATTTCCTCTCCCATTGTGAACGCCGCGCTTATGTAGGTTGTTGAACAGTTTGCGTTGGACTTGTGTGCAGCGCCGTGCAAAAAGTGGCGGGTTCCGGAACTTGATGAGTGCATTCCGGATCAAAGATGCGTGTGGGACTTCCTTTCGTCAGGTGAGGAGCTTTTCTCCACGAACGGTCGCCTGGTACGTTTCGTACTCCGCAATGCAGGGCCTGCATCCTGGGACAATGCCGTCTCCATTTGCTCACGGCGAAGGAAAAACGGAGAGTTGAGATTCGGCGGGCGCCGGGTGTCTGGGTTTGAAAGGCAGCCCAAACGACGAAAAAAGACACGAAGAGCACACAAAGCCCCTCTTGTCAAAAGAAGTACTACACTGCGAAGGAGAAACACTTCGGAATGCTATGTGGGAGAATTGAACTCCCGTCTTCACGGCCACAACGTGATGTCATACCACTAGACCAACACAGCTGCTTACAGAGGATTTGCCTGTGGGCCCGATATTAGCGAATTTATTGACCTGGAGCGGCGCACCCGATGGAAGACAAAAACTGCATTTCGGAGTTGCGCTCACCATTGCGCGTGGAATGTGTTGATCCGTATCGCGCCTTGTCAATAGCTGATTTGGACCCAAACGGATGCTCCCAACCCCTTCGCAACCAGCGCGTCTCCTCGTCTGTGTCACTAATCCCCGCTATGTTTCTTACGCGATCTGAATATGATCGTGCCGTCAACACCTTCTCCCCGGAAGGTCGTCTGTTTCAAGTCGAATATGCAATCGAAGCCATCAAACTAGGATCCACTGCCGTCGGTATTCAGACCTCTGAAGGGTATGTCAAGCTCGTCTTCAGACCGTGCACTGTTTCATCCCGCGCGCTTCTTCTCTAACTTTTGCAATTCTAATGCAGCGTCGTTATCGCCGTGGAAAAGCGCCTCAATTCACCCCTGCTAGTTCCAACGTCCGTTGAAAAGATAATGGAAATCGTAAGTATACGACGCAAATGATAGCATCCTCGTTCATCGCTTTTGCTCGCTTTGCTGACATGTTTGTTTGTAGGATCTGCATATTGGCTGTGCTATGTCCGGTCTCACCGCTGATGCGCGCACTCTCATCGATCATGCCAGAGTCGAAACTCAGCAACACCGTTTCGTGTATGATGAGCCCATGACCCCAGAGGCCTGCACACAGGCTCTGTGCGATCTCGCCTTGCGTTTCGGCGAGGACGGTGAAGATCACAACACCATGTCCCGTCCATTCGGCGTCGCCCTTTTGATTGCAGGTGTCGACAAAGACGGCCCGAAGCTATTCCATACAGATCCCTCAGGTACCTATGTTAGATGGAAGGCAAAGGCTATTGGTGCGGGCAGTGAGGGGGCACAGACTGCTCTGCAGGAAAGCTATTCTTCCTCTATGACGTTAGAGGAGGCTGAAACTCTGGCCTTGCGCACTTTGAAACAGGTCATGGAGGAAAAACTTGATGGTACAAATGTGGAGCTTGCTGCTGTAACCAAGCAATCCGGTCTGTTCAGGATTTATTCAGCAGAAGAACTCAAGCAATGTATCAGCAGGCTGTGATTTAAAGAGCGGCGCTACTCCATCTCACCTGTGTTTTTGTTGTTGCATATCTCAGTTGTGCCATGTCTTGTTCTCATCTTCTTACCAAAGGCCGTTTCTCGCGTGCGTATGGTGTGATATACGGTATCTCCCAGTCCCCGTCCTTGAGCAGTACTGCATGAATCACCTCATCGTTCTTGAGTGCACATTCTGCCAGTGTTTGTTCATCTTCCAGGAAATCGGGCGTTGTACCGTCCGTGCAGAAACGACAGAGACGTAGTTCATTTGGCTGAACGTTCATCATGTAAGCAGCGCGATCGCGAAGTTGTTGCACCGTGCCTTCTCGCAGATCCACGCTCACGAAGTACGTCTGCTTCATGCGTTTTACGCGCACGTGCGCTTGAAGAGGCGCGAATCTTCCCGTTCTGGTTGAATTCATGTCGAATGGGTCGCAAGTGTTATAAAGTAGGTTAGTGAGTCTCGCCTGCAAGCTGCGTGCGATGCCCTCGCAGGTTGTCGCTTCACTCGCTGTTCGAAACAGGGGGCAGGCTGTGCTTCGCATGTCGATCGTGTTCATCACAGAGGTGGATGTTTGAGGTTGCATTAAATTATACCTGTGATTTGGCGCGCATTTTGCTCCTGTGGTGGAGACTGTAGCCTTCTATCGACAGTTATTAAACACATTCCACTAACTCTACCTTCGGTAGCTGCAAGGTTGCTACAAGATGCAGCTCTGTAATAGAGTACTATCTGTTCTGCTATTAGCTGCGCGCCAAACCTTGGTAAATCCTACGTAGGCGAACTAGCTTACCTTGCCTAGCTTGCTCTGTACTCTTTAGGTAGGATTTTGGTATCTAGCTACTCTGTCGCACCTTTGACGAGCTCTTGAGAGAATCAACGGCGCACGTTTATCGAGCATACGCTATCGTTGGTGCCTTATACTCTCTGGGAGCTACCGGGACACACTTACCTTTCAGTCTTGGTGGGAAAGGCATTCTTCACAACTCTCTGTTTCTGTCTTTCCGTACGTGCTCTATATAAATTTATCTCGCAAGCTGCCTAACCCATGTTAGCATATGTGTTTCCGACGATAATGAGCGCAAACGTGAGTGCGTCAAAACCCACGTTAGGGCGAAGCACATTGATGGTTAGGCCAGTTCGTAATTTGGAAGATCTTCGACTTGCACTCGTTATCCGGACTAAGGTGTTCGTGCAAGAAATGGGCATTCCGCAAGAGCAGGAGTATGACGAGAACGACAAATGGCCAATCCCGGAAAATATCACGCATTACCTTGTCACTGTCGGTACGCAACCTCTTGCTACTTGTCGCCTGAACAAGGGTGTAGTGAACATGAAGATAGAGCGAATGGCGGTTGAAAAGTTCGCGCGGAGTAGGGGTATTGGGAGAGCGTTGCTGCAATACGTTGAGCAGGTGCCAGTAGTACGCAACTCGAAAGGCGTCTTGTACTGCTATGCGATGAAGGATAAGGAACTATTCTATCTTAATTCAGGGTGGATAACGGAGGCGGGTCACGGAGAGCTTCAAGAAGTTGGTATTCCACATGTGGCTATGATAAGACGAAGACGCCCTGCAGGCGCCAGTGATAGTCCTCAGAGTCTTAGTCACATCATGGTGCGCACGATGGACATTGCGCGTGCGAGAAGGTTTTATTCTCTGCTCGGCTTTCAAGACACGTCACGGTTCAGAATGAACGGTGTACGCGGTGCTTGGATTGAGGTACGTCACCATATCAATTTACGGATTGTTATACTAACGAATGGGACGAATGACTGACAGGCTACTGCCGGTGTGTTGCGATTGTTGATGGTAAAGTCACCATACATTGAACAGCGCGTTGAACTGCTAGAAATGAAAACGCTTGTGACAGAGCAGCAAGTACGAAACGCATGGGCGAGCGGAATGGCAGACTACACGCCAGGGCTAGGACACATGTCATTTGACCTCACACGCGCGTGCACAGATCTAACAAAGTATTTGACAACGGTTCAAGACGAGTCGTTGAACAGGTTTCAAATGGCTTTAAGGGTGGTGGAGAAACCAAAAGAAGTGCTAATAGGTAGCATGCTGATGGAGGTAGCGTTCATTTCTGACGCCGACGGCACGCTACTGGAACTAACCAGACTGAAAAAAAAATACGATGACCCGAGGTTCGACGCGCAATGGTAAAAACGGGGGGTTTACTTAGCGACGCATTGATGTACAAGACGTTGAAGCGGTTGCTGGACAACGAGTGGGGCATAAGACAGATGGGAGGTGGCTGGGCTTTGAGCGAAGGAGATAAATGCATATGTGAAAAGTGGAGATATGTTGTGTATCGTCCCTTGTATATATTTTTTTCTTGGGAAGCGAGGAGAAAGGAGAGGGGATACGCAGACAATTAGTGAAGAGACAAACGAGTGAGGTATACGGGGAGTGGGGCAAGGTGAGAGCACGGCTGGGATTATTGACATGTCATGTGAGGTATATCAAAAACACCTAACTTGTGTTCGGAGTCGGATAGCGAAAAAGGATCCGGTTGCAAAGCAAGGGAAGGAGATTGAGGGGGAGTTTCCAGAAGTGGTAAAGATTGATTCAGCATAGCAGCAGAAGCATTATTGTGTTGTGGCAGGGTGGCGGGGATGGGGGTGGGGTTGGGGGCGGTGGCAGCAGTGGCGACAGGAGCAGCTGTTGGGAGCGACTCAGGCAGCTGTAATGACTGAGCGGAGACGGAGGGCTGGTTGTCCAAGTGCACAGGCCAGTCTGGAGGGACAATCGGTGCGGAGGCGCTGGGAGGTGGGGCAGGAGTGGCTGTTGGCTGCACAGAGGGGTAGGGCGTTTGCAGAGCGGAGGGTGAAAAGACGCCGACACCGGGGACGGCAACAATACCCATCTGCTGAAGGCGGCCGAGAAGGACGCGAATCCTATCGCGTAGCTCCTGGTTGCGGGTGGCGAGGGCGACGGCGCGATGCTCCAGGTCCTCGGTGTAGCGCTTCTTCTTCTGCAGGCTCTTCATGGCGGACTCGCGGTTCTTGAGAACGCGCTCTCGGCGACGCTGCTCATCGGTGAGATGGGGGTTGACGACGCGTCGGCCGCCCTTGATCTTCTTAGAGATGGAGGACGTGGGGGAGCGCACAGTGGAGGGGGCGGGGGTGGAGGGGGTGGGTGGGTGTGCATGGGGGGTGGGCGCTGGGAAGGAGTGGGGGTGAGGGGAGGGGGGGAGTTGGACGCGGTCATGGCGGGGTGCGGGCGGGCTCGCGCGCCGGGACGAGGAAGTGCGGCACAGTTGGAGACATAAGCGGCGCTGGCACAGGGGGTGTGGAGTGTTTAGTGGGAGGGGGTTGTAGAAGGGTTAAGGGGAGAGGGGGGGGAGGGGGGGGGGGAGCGGTACGGGCGGCAAGCGCTAGATGGGCGCGAAGGAGTGGCGCTTTCGAAACGGCGACTGGTCGAACGGACAGATAATCGTTTATGCGCAAGCGTAACGGTCGTCCGCGCGCTCGCCTTCACCCTTTGGAGCGCTCTCGACGAGATGCGCATGCGCCGTGCCAGCACGGGGTCTCGCGCTGTGCTTCCACTGGCTCCAGTTTAGATAAAGCGAGTTATTTCACATACCTTCCGCCGCCGCACGTGCCACTGCAGGTAAGAGCTCCACCGCACGTGGACACGTCGTATTCCCGCACCCCGCGCCTCCCTGTTTGATCTATTACTCTTGCTTTTTGGCGCCAATTCCGAACCGCCAAACGAAACCGCAGTGCACCCGCTGCCTCTCGCCCCCCTAGCGCTTTCGCCGCCCTTCCCTTCGATCCGCCCCCCTCCCATCTTCTTCCACTCTGCACTGATGCAGCGCTACGACATCGCGCAGCTGCAGCGCCAGCTGGACAATCTCGAGGACCACAACGACTCCGAAGCCCAGAAGCT